GGGGATTACCGGTCTCGGCTACCTTGTGCGAAAAATGACAAAGGGATGGGATTATACTCGAGTCTCGACTTTAGGGCTTGTCGCGCCGTCACGAGAGAATGATTGCGACGGGGACGCGTTCTGACTTTTACATTTCAGCATTTCGCGTAATGACAACGATGATTTCGGCGATCAATTAGCATGCAGGCAATAATTCATCAGTCTTTATGTTAATTTTTTGCATATCGGAACACACGATCTGTTAATTATTCGTCGCGACGGTAATTAAAATTGATTCTTCGATGCGTATCGCGGAGAGAAGCGGTTGTTTGGTACATTTGCATAATGGAAAAGTGTCCGAACAATAAAATTCCACATTCCATTAAGCTGGAGCGACGCGTTCTCGCGCGCGCGCGCGCGCGTGTGTGTGCGGTTAGCGGCGGTGATTCGGCATTTAGTTATTTTCAATCTGACTGTGTATGCGCGCGTGCGTGTTCGCCGTCGTTCGAGAGCAAAAATATTAACGAGAGTGCTCCGCAGAGCGCCGCGTCATCCTCGCAAATCTCCGCGCCGGCAAGACTGTAGGCCTCGCTCAAAGCGTAAGTCGTCTTGTGGGCCTCCTTTGAGTCGCTTCCCATCTCTCCCTCTCTTCCGGGGACGAATAAAACGGACGCTGGTCGCGAAGAGGCTCTCGTCCGATAACGATTAATTAAAGTAGCATCCGCCTGTGCAGTAAGTGACGATGGTCGCTGGTTATGGATGGTTATGTTCTTCAAGACGCGCGAATTATCTCTCGTCGAGACGGACGAGATAGGCACGCGGAATCGAGATAGGAAACATAAAGTAGAATCGTCCGTTTTTTGCGCTTGGGTCTAACGCATTCGCGTAGATGTAAAACGCCGAGATGAGTCTCGCGAACGTAATTTGGCGAATCTATCGAGTCGTTTCGAGGGATAGAGAGGAAGTCGGCGGAGCGGTCGGTGTGACCGGTCGCGGTCGCCGCGGGTTGAGAGCACCGGCGCGGTTAACCGCGGCAACCGCAGCGACCGGTTCGGAGCCCGCCTGCTGGCGCGTTGCGGCGTCTCGCTCGTCGTCGCTTTTCGCGGTATGCTCCGCTCTCGCTCTCACGCCGCTCGCATTCCTTCGTCTCTGTCGCACTCTCGTACGATGGAGCGCTTCGCGCTCCTTGCGTTTCCTTCCTTCCAATTCTCCCCAGTCGTTCGGTGAGTACCAGAGAGCCGAGCCGAGCCG